GACAGAGTTTACATTTAGTCAAATCTACATCAGCAGATGTTACAAATTCCCAGAGGTACTTGTAGCCGAGCCTAAGCCTAGCAGTGGTAACATCTAGAAGTCTGCTAACATTATTGGATGACCCATAGACGTGCGGTTCTTCCTGCATAATAGAATGATGATAGATGGAGTAACTGGTGTGAATTTCACTTTGCCTCAAGTCTCCGAAATTTAGTTGATGTTCCTGCGATATTGCTGCCCTCAGGCTGCTCAAAGGCAGTCCAAGTTGGTAATCAATTCCCTCTTTACGAGCAAAAGTCTTGGCCAACTCATCAGTTCTATCATGCATTCGGAGACCAATATGGGAAGGAATCCACAGGAGACAAACTCTGACTCCATCATTGATTATTTCATTATATCTGTGTCTAGCTTCAGAGATAAGCACGTCACAGTTATGCCTTAGGAAGCTGAGGGCAGTCAAGGATGACAAGGAGTCACTTACAATTAGCGTGTCATCTTTGGATTCATATACGCGCTCGAGTGCAAGGATTATGGCAACCGCCCAGTTACTTAGACGCGCTCCACACTCATGGGAGAAGGAACCATCTCTCCCTGTCACAACAACTGCACTTCCAGCTGCACCATGGGACTGATGCAAGGATCCATCAGTGTAAATAATCTGGGAAAGGGAGCGCTCTCTGACTAAAGTATCAATTTGGCTTAAGGCATTGTACTTTGCCATTGTACATTGCCATGTGACATTGTACATTGTGTCGAAGCAAGGCTTGTTCTTTAATCAGCTTCTTGGGTGGGAAAGAGTCTTGAGAGAGGAGGAACTTAACTCCTGATTTACCCGAGGGGCCAATAAGACAAGTCTCAACGAAGACATTTCTAAATGGCTTTATGAATGGAATCCATGTCCTGTCCTCGACAAGGACAAGAAGCCGGAGGCTTGTCGAAGGTCCTTCCAGTTGCCTTGATCCTTTCTAGGTGGATTTTAAAATATAACTTTTTTTGGAGTTTGTAGCTTTGGTGGGTAGGCGTTTTCATGGATTTATAACCTTGTGGGCGAAAAAGCATCTGCTGTTCTCAGTCCTGCATTGAGGTTTGTTGAACCCGAAACCATTGGTCCATGTTTGTGTTATATCTGACCTTTTGAAGAAATTTTTCTGATCAACAACTTCCAAATTGTTCAGTATTTTAAAATACTGAACAAAATTTTTAAAATATTTGAAAATACTAAATAATTTCTATGTTGCCGTTAAAAAAAATTCTTTTGTTAAACTATTTCATTATTTTGCATTCATGAATGTGGCTAGCCACTAAACCATTTGTATGCACATTGTATGTATCCACGTTTAAGTAATACAGATATTCTGCACTAATTTGTATTAAGTGACTTCAATTAGTTGTGGTGTGTGGCCCTCATGGCAAAACAAATGTGATCCATACGATCCTCGGGGGACCCTCAGTTTGGCATGCCTGCTTTATTACTCTCTCATCTATCCTTATCTCAATTATGGTATCTGTTCTTGGGGTTCTACTACCCAAAATCATATATGTCCTCTAATTACTCAACAAAAATGGCCACTGCTTTACGTAGGAAAGCGGAGGTGTTTCTGATGGGCAAAAAAAAAAAAGACATATTTGCACAGCGTGATTCGCAGGCGCAGTGCGGGCAGTACAAGGGGGCATATAAATAGAATTGGAAGAGGGTTCCTGCCGATGGGAGATGGGAGATATCTCCCATCGCGCAGGGTGCATTCGCACCTCCACAGATCTCCAATATCAGCTCTTGATACTGGCAATGGCTCAAAAGGGCCACCACTTACGGACTATTCATGCCCGTGCCACCTTTTGGGTGGCTTAATCTTCATCAATCAATCAATCAATCTAGGGGTCCTGCCCTCACTCGTGTTCCCGCCATGGACCGCTTAACACGGAACTACGGGTGCTCTTTAACTTACTGTTACGACGGGTGTTCATTTTAAGTTGATTTAGTGTACTTAAGAGTTATCCACATCTATATTATGCATTTGTTAAATACTCACTTATAGCAGTCTCATTTACATGTTCTGCAGAAATTATTTACTTGTACTTCTACTACTTAATAAATAAGCCCCCATACTGTTGGTGTCTTTTTTCCTCCTGATCAGAAAATATGCTATTAAATCGTATGATCGCCGTTTTCAGCAATTGGCATATTTTCGATATAAAAAATCGTAATTTCGTACTGCAAATATGTGCAGTGAGCCAGAATTTGGCTCGAAAATAACGCTCATGAGTCAGATTTCCGATATTTCTGATAGGGTATTTTGAAAACTACAGGGGGGGGGGTAAAATTTGACCGATCGCCGTTTTCAGTAATTGGCATTTATCAGTAGTGTATAAAAGTCGTACTTTCAAACTGAAAATATGTGCAGCGAGCCAGAATTTGGCTCCAAAATAATGCTCATGAGTCAGATCTTGTCAGAACTTGTCAAAAATTTTTGAAAAACTTATATACAAGCAGCTTTACTCATATCTAGCCAAACTCAATATACTTAGCCCTTGCCAATATGGCTTCAGACCCAAAAAAAGCACTAACGATGCACTTATTAGTATGCTTAACTCGATTCATACAGCTCTTGATAAAAAGGAGCTCCCTGTTGGGTTATTTGTGGACCTGCGTAAAGCTTTTGATACTGTCAACCACCATAACCTTCTTCTTAAATTACATCATTATGGAGTCAGAGGACACTCCCTACAATACCTCGAGTCCTACCTTACTGACAGGCTCCAATATGTTTCTGTGAATAATACAATTTCTCCCACCCTACCCATCAACATTGGTGTTCCTCAGGGCAGCATACTTGGCCCTCTCCTCTTTCTCATCTACATTAATGACCTTCCAAATGCCTCCCAACACCTCAAACCAATTCTATTTGCTGACGACACAACCTTCATTTACTCCAGTCCTGACCCTCTTGCTCTAAATGCCACAGTAAATACTGAGCTAAATAAAGTCCATCTTTGGCTAACTGCCAACAAACTCACCCTTAACATTGACAAAACCTTCTATATTCTGTTTGGCAATAAATCCTCTAGTCTTATAAATCTCAAAATAAACAATACCCAAATTTGTAACAAATTAGATGGCAAATTCCTTGGCATTCTCATTGACCACAAGCTGAATTTCCAGGGACACATTCTAAATATATCAAAAAAAGTTTCAAAAACTGTGGGCATTCTTTCTAAGATCAGATATTATGTACCACGCCCTGCTCTGGTGACTCTCTATTACTCCCTTATCTATCCTTATCTCAACTATGGTATTTGTGCTTGGGGTTCTACTACCCAAAATCACTTACGTCCTCTAATTACCCAACACAAAGCCGCTATTAGAACAATATCCAACTCTGGCCCCAGACATCACTCGGTACCCCTACTCAAATCTCTTAATATGTTAGATATTAAGTCACTGCACATTCTCTCATGTGTATTATACATATATAAAACGCTAAACTATAATGCCAATCCTGATCTTAAAAGCTTCATAGAAGGTTGTAACAGAACCCATGAGCACCACACCAGAAATAAATACAGTTTTGATATTCCTAGAGTACGTCTTAATCAAACTAGAAATGCTCTGCAAATCAAGGGGCCCAGAATGTGGAATGACCTTCCCAACCATGTTAAAGACTGTACCTCTCTCAACCAGTTTAAGATAAAAACTAAACACTACCTAATAAATTCCCTGTAATCTACCTCACTCCTCTATTGTCAACCCATGTCTGTTATTTTCTTTTTATTTTCTTTTTTTTTTTCTTTTTTTTTTAATCAACACTGTTTGTCAACCTATTGTATTTGTGCTGCTTTTTCAGTCATGTTCCCCCTTTTTTTTTTATCTTTATTTGTATTTGTTCTCAACATCTTTTATTCTTTATGCTCAATTAGTATTAAGTTCTTGATATTAATGTTTTTCTTGCCCGAAACGCATTGCGTAATAGTGGCTTTAGGCATTGTATGTACTAGCTCTATCTATATATCAATCCATTAATGTAACATCACTTGTATGTATATACCTTACCTGAATAAACATCTGAATCTGAATCTGAATCAGATTTCCAATATTTTGAAAACTGTAGGGGGGGGGGGATACAATTTGACCCCATTGTTGTTTTCAGTAATTGGCATATTTTCTGTATAAAATATCGTAATTTCAAACTGCAAATATGTGCAGTGAGCCAGGATTCGGCTCCAAAATAATGCTCATGAGTCAGATTTCCGGTATTTTGAAAACTGCAGGGGGGGTTTGGGTAAAATTTGCAAAGTACACCTATCGGCAATGGGTCAAATTTTACTCGAACCCCCCTATAGTTTTCAAAATATCGAAAATATCAGAAATCTGACTCATGAGCATTATTTTGGAGCCAAATTCTGGTTCACTGCACATATTTGCAGTTTGAAAGATTTTTTATACCAAAAATATGCCAATTACTGAAAACGACGATGGGTAAAATTTTGCACAAACCCCCATGCAGTTTTCAAAATATCGGAAATCTGACTCATGAGCTTTATTTTGGAGCCGAAATCTGGCTCACTGCACATATTTGCAGTTTGAAATTATGATTTTTTATACCGAAAATATGCCAATTACTGAAAACAACGATGACATTTAGCGAACATAACCGAGCAAATATAGCAGCCGCCAGGAAAATGATTGGATGGTCTATGAGAACGTTAAAAAATCTGCTACGATCTAATAGCAGATTTTTGTTGAGTAATTAGAGTACGTAGATGATTTTTGGTAGTAGAACCCCAAGAACAGCTTCTTTTGATAATTGCTTACATCCTTGGCCAACAAAAAAGCTACCCTGCAGCAAAATAAGATCCTGCAAAGTGGGAAATTCTTGTTGTCTTGTGACAATGAAAAGCACATTCTTTAGACTCCACCAACCTGCCAACAATCTCAAGGATGGTTTGTGTGCACCACATCACTTACATTATTTTACTTATCTGGATAAATACAAATACAGTAATACCATTTACACATACGATGCTTTATTCAGAATTTTATGAGTTACCTTGCTAAAAACAATACAAAAGCTAGCATTCATATTCGTATGTCACCAACCCGTTCCTATAAAAATATAACATGCTCTTTAATATTCAGCGGATTATTTTAATACATACAAATTTTGATACAACTATTAAACGCATATAAAATTAATTACATCGTTAAAATAAAAATGGTTTATTCAAATAAAATATTTGTCAACTACTGTATTTGCCAAGTTGGAATAAGCTGCATGCAACTCATATTCTATGAACCTGATACAAACATACATTTTATTACACTTGCATTTGCAGCATAGACAAAATACAAATTAGGTGTAATTTGTTTTTTCTCATTATTGTAATTTATATAGCATAATAACTAAATAATGAAAGAAACTTTTAAAGTTTCATTTATGAGAGCATATCACAGAACCAATACAGTACCTTAAAAGCTTATCAGTTAAGTGTATTTCTACACCAATCTTTCTTATCAAGTGATTTTATGTGGGGGCAGTAGATCAGTCTTGTTCTTGAACCACAATGAGTCAGTACAATAGTTATTTTACAGTAGCAACTCAGGGTGGTAAGTTTGTTCAACCCTGCATCCATAAATAAAGGTTTCGACACTGTTATTCAATATGGTTGTTAAAATTGTTGCTCAGCATACAAAACATTGCCATAACTGTTATTCATACCATGTCATAACCAAATAAAATTGATATAATTCAACACTTCCTTAGACTCGACTGTAATGTGTTATTCACTACTCGGCTAACATCTCTTACCACATTAAATTAGATTTATGGTTTAAATTACTCAGTATTTAAATGAAAAAAATATTGGCATACTATGTATTTGAGCAAAATTCACAGCAGGAAATGCTTGGTTGAAATTTGACTTAAAAATAACAAGGATTAAAACTGAAAACACGAATGCATTGAATTCAACGTTTCTAATCCATGACGTGACATTCTCAGTCACCTTTCACTGAGAAGAACAGCTGCTGGGTGCCAATGGTCAATGAGGCTGTTGAAAAAGAAAATAAATTATTAGATTCATTTTTTCTTTCAATATAGTGCATTTATCATGAACAAAAACATGTGATAATCTCGGTCTAAATCCACAAATTATTTAATTATCATATCATTTTTTATCATAATGAAGTCTGCACATTTAAATTCAAATTCAGATGTTTATTCAGGTAAGGTACATACATACAAGGGGCGATACAAATATTGATGAATTTATAGATAGAGCTAGTACATACAATGCCTAAAGCCACTATTACACAAAGCGTTTCGGGCAGGAAAAACACTAAAGGCTAAAACTTAATACTAACTGAGATTAAAGTATAAAATGTGTTGAGAAAATATAAAAATAAAAAAGGGGGGAACATGGCATAAAAACAGCAAAACTACAATTTGGTCGACAAATTCAGTAACACTGAATTTGTTTATATTCAGTATTCAGTATGAGTTTATATTCAGTAACACTATCCTCACCATAAAGTTGGCATTTTTTGCTTTCACTACTTTTCCTAAATTACATTCTTGGTACAGTACTTTATTATAAAGTCTCCAATAGAGTATTAACTAATTTATTTTTAATTTATTAATGTATTAGCTAATTATTTTCACTTTCTAACACATCTAATTTTGAGTACTGTATATGAAAAACACTTCTATGAGTAGTATGCTCAGTCACTCCACAAAGTAAAAATGTATTTGCATCTGAATAGGATCAATCAAGTTCAGGGGAGATCAACAATTGCAAGTATCACTGGGGAACTTAACAAATTGCTACTATCAGATCATACTGGTGCTAGGAGATACAGTATTGGGAAATGCCCAATCCAGCCCGGAATATAGATAGAAAAGTGTTTATCATAAAACATAACAACTGTACCCCAGACACAACCTTGCAGCACATTTATTATCACTAACTGCACACAGGTGCACCTTGTAATACAAAAAGTACCAGTGTGTGCTCTGGCAAGCTATCAAACTATCTCTCAGTTCACTACACACATAAATCACAATAGCGTGTTGTATCAAGTGAACAAATTGGTGGATTTGTTCATTTGATATATCACACTATTGTGATTTCTGTGTGTATTGAAGTAAAGGTGTAGAGGTAGAACGATTGGTTGACAAAGCCCGGGTGCATCGGGAAATTGTGTGAAAACCCGATTGGGCTTCGAAGAAGCTTCGGGATCCTAGTGAGGGTAGTAGCACTCCAGGTTGCAATTCTTTTAACCATGTTGTAGCACAGTTGACTAAGGCGCATCTGGGAACATCCCATGCGTAGGTTCGAACCCTCATCACGGCCCTTGTGGATTTGTTCATTATTGTCACTAGCTGCCTTTAAAATGGCATTGCATTACCACAACACTGCCTTCCCATCCCACCATTTCATCATCAGTAAAATAATAATTTGGGGCCTTCCCCAAAGCCCCAGCATGAGGCAGGCCCCCCTCTCCCAGACTTTGCCACATCCTCTCTGAGTGGATGCTCTTGGTCGTGGTTTCTTGTTTCTTATGGGGGGTTTTCCTCCTGCTTTCCTCAAGGTTTCGACCTTGTTTCTTATGGGGGGGTTTTCCTCCTGTTTCTGGTCCTAAAATAGAATTCTAAGGACCTCCAGTACGTTCTCAACCTTTCCAGATTATACCGGTGATGCCATGCCCCTCCTTTCAGATGGCTAAGTTGTCCCAGGTCTGGCTCGTTCTCAAGCCAGGCGCTTGTTTTATTTCCCTGGACCTCAAGGATGCGTATTGGCATGTCCCCTCTTCATCCATGGTTCAGGGTTTAGTTTGGTTTCTTTGTGGAGTAATGAGCTTACCATTTTCAGGTTCTGCCATTTGGGCCAACTCTGGCACCTTGTGTTTTTATGCACTTAACTGGGTCTTGGTGACCCATCTTATTTTGTTCAGCCTACCTTGACGCAAGGCTGGATTGGGCTCCCTTACCTTGAGATTACCTTGAGGTGTTTTCGGGGCTTAGCATCCCCGTGGCCCCGTCCTCGACCAGGCTTCCTTGTTGCTGGACTGGTCAACCGGTTTTCTTGTATGCTAGCCAAGGATCTGGTTCTTTCCCAACTAGCTGATTTCAGGTTCCTGGTGTACTGGCAGAGGTCCCGGTGGGTTCCATCTTGGGCTTGGATCTGGTTGGGCCTGACTTTGGGTTCTTGGTTGGCATCACTTTCCCTGCTTCCTATGGCTTTGCTTCTTGCATTTTGTTGGTGTTGAGGGGGGACCCAGGTGACTCGGTAGTTGCTCAAGTAGTTATGTGGGAACCTGGACTTTGCCCTTCTGGTTTGCCCCGTTGGGCAATATTTGGCTTCGGTAGCTGTTCTGGTACCATCAGGGCAACCTCTTTTGCCTCTCGCATTTGCTGGATGCTCCTCCAGTGTCTCTGTGCTGGCTGCTACATCGCCATCTTCCTCTTAGAGTTCTCAGGATCTGGTGCCATGTCGCCTTCCCCCTCCCTCGCCTGATGTTTTCACAGAAGCCTCTGCTGTTGGTTTTAGCCTTGTGACTAGGCTCACCAGACCGGCCAGGGCCATTGGAACCTTCCCCTTTGTCGGGAGCTCGGTGGAGTTCAGGTGTTTGTCTAGTCTACCCTCAACACTGCTATTATCTTCAGATTCCTGCCACTAAATCATGAATATGAATTAGTTTTCATAAGATTATTTGATAAAGGAACATGAAGTCACGTGACATGATGCAGAGATGCATGAAATCTGGACTGTGTTTTCAACTGCCTCCTGCTGTGAACATCATAACCAGCATTGTGTTTATTGATATCCAATAATTGTACATAGTTTTTATTACAGTCAGGCTCATCTCTGACACTATCAACACAAAATAATGCAGTTACTTATTTTATTCATCGTCATTAAGTGGTGCTGTGACCCCAACTTGCACAGCTGTGCTGTGAGCTCCTGCTGCATGTTCCAGCCTTTGTCACTATGGCAGTAGTGAGGCTGTCACAACCAGGAGGGATCTTGAGGTTATCTTGAGATGATTTCGGGGCTTTAGTGTCCCCGCGGTCCGGTCCTCGACCAGGCCTCCACCCCCAGGAAGCAGCCCGTGACAGCTGACTTACACCCAGGTACCTATTTTACTGCTAGGTAACAGGGGCATAGGGTGAAAGAAACTCTGCCCATTGTTTCTCGCCTGCGCCTGGGATCGAACCCAGGACCACAGGATCACAAGTCCAGTGTGCTGTCTGCTCGGCCGACCGGCTCGACCGGGATGAAGACATTTCTTTTCCAAGATGGCATCTGTTTACTGGAGTCTTGAGGAACAAGACACAAGCCCTGTGTACCCGCGAGAGTTTTGAATTGTTCCCTATACCTAAACAAGACATATATTAATCAGCACACCACCCTTCAACTGCACAACTGTTTGTGCAGTGTTGGGGTTACAGTTACATTGTATACTTTTTTTTTTATAGCATTACTTACCAAGAGCCCTTTTGATGATCTGTGGCTTATTTTCCCAATAGATGAAAAGGTAATATGCTGGAATGCCTGAGGCAGTGATGAGGATACCCATACCAACTTCAAGAGGTCGAACGTATAGTGGGAGGAACACCAAAAATCCGCAGATCATCAGGAAAATAATAGGAATGATGATGTTGACCTGTAAACAATGATATTTATATATTAATTATACTGAAAGGACATTTGCATTTTTTAGACAATGGAAAATTAATTATTTAAAAGTATGATCCAAATAGTAAATATTATACAGTACAGTATAGTGTTCCAAACATTTACCTAGCTATCTATATCTGATGCTTGTTCTGCTTGGTGACTTAGTTTGTTTTTATTATGCATATAATGTTTATAATTAACATCCTACAGCTCGTGTGGGTTTTGTGACAGCGGTTAATGTAATCGGGTCACAGGTGAAAGGACTCGAGTTCGGTTCCCGTGGAAGGACAAAAATGTTTGAGCAACACATCCTTTCATCCGATCCCTTTGTTCACACAACAGAAAATAGGACCTCAGGCATTAGACAATTATTGTGGAGTTGTATCCTGGTAAATGCCAGTGGTTGACTTTCAGGGACCTCAATAAGCCTAACAGGCTTTCTCTTGCTAAGTATAGTATAGGAAACTGTATGGTGATAAATAGCATAAATCATTTATCTAAATTAAAATGTATTTACCAATCACAGCTTTGCCCCTAATTCTAGAGTAACCAAGTCCCTTGGGTATACGAGCTCATTTGAAATATTGTCTTCAAGTTTTGTCTCTGCTACTGCGACAATATCTAGGACCTTAAGCTGAATTAAATCTCATAGTTTTAAGTATTTTTTTATCTTGCTCCATATTTGTTGGTTTTGAAGGTTACATGTTCAGGAACATGTTCCCTTTCCCTTTGTCCTTTACTCCCCCTTCCTCTAATGATTTTGTTGCTTTGTTTTTATGTACTATTTCACTAGCTTTACAGTCTCTAACACTTTGTAGAAAAAAAAAATTCTTTCTTCATTTCTATTCCCATTTAGACCTTTCGCTTCATCAGGGTTTGTTTTCAGCTTTTCTCTGTCTTCCTTTGAGTGGTCTTGTTTTATTGACCAAAGTTTGCCAACCTCATCACTCTGCAATTTCCTGGCATTTCTAAGCACTTCCATCATTTGTTTCACTCCATTAAATGTCACCCTTAAGGGGCAGTTCTTGCCTTTTTCATATTTTTTTATTCTCCTAAAATCCCTGACATTTTCCTTTGAATTGAGGCCTTCTTCTAAATCTACTATTTTCTCCGCGATTTTCATCTCTTCGACTGCTCTGTCCACACTAGATGACATTTCCTAAATGATACGTGTAATAATTTCCCTAGATAATAGTAGTAAACAAGTAGGTGATAATGCTAGTGAATGAATCCTCTTTCAATTGTTGTCAGTGATATTGTAGTATGTCTGATTTTGTTTCATTCAATGTAAATTCTCTTGTTAGAGTGAAAGTGTAGAAGCACACATGAGATGTGATTAATGAAGAGCAATTGTGAAGGTCAGTATTGTACATGTTTCATCACCTTATTTAAGTTAATGGTATGACAGAGACCCAACACTTGGTCATAGCAGCAGCTTGTGTAAAGCCATCGCTTGTACATGACCTAGTTCTCAGGAAGGGTTATCTTGAGGTTATCTTGAGATGATTTCGGGGCTTTTAGTGTCCCCGCGGCCCGGTCCTCGACCAGGCCTCCACCCCCAGGAAGCAGCCCGTGACAGCTGACTAACACCAAGGTACTTATTTTACTGCTAGGTAACAGGGGCATAGGGTGAAAAACTCTGCCCATTGTTTCGCGCCGGCGCCTGGGATCGAACCCAGGACCACAGGATCACAAGTCCAGCGTGCTGTCCGCTCGGCCGACCGGCTCCCTCATAAGGAAGCTTTAGTTACTGTAGCCAATTGCTAGAGTTGAGAGGAGTGTTTAGCTAAGAGTGATACTTGATGCTGAGATATTCTTTGTAATTTAAATACGGTGTGTTATGCAAGATTACAGAGGAAGACTGGACATCATGTATTAAACATCGACTTACTTTTATAGGTCGCTTCATATTGGGTTGTTTCCATCTGAGGTAGAGCAGTCCTGCTACGCTGCAGAGAATGAACATGCTCTCTACAAAACTGGCATACTCGATGAGACTGTAGATATTAGTTGTGCACAGATACACCAGTGACAGAAGTCCCTGAAAATATATAACATTTTAGTAATGTGTTGTATGCTTGTATAGAAAAAATTACTAAATCAAACATGAAATATCTGAATATTGATAATCAATTTTTTTTTTTTTTTTTTTTTTTTTAGATATATACAAGAGTTGTTACATTCTTGTACAGCCACTAGTACGCATAGCGTTTCGGGCAGGTCCCTGGAATACAATCCCCCACCGCGAAGAATCGTTGTTACAACCAACCAAGTACACATTTTACTCTTGTGTTAAGCATAAATTTAGATACTGTACTTGTTGTTTCAAAAGATGTATACCATTAACCACACAATAACCTTCTTAAACTGCAACACTAAGTCAAAGGTCACTCCATCCAATACCTGCAATTTTACCTCGGTGACTGGCTTCGGTACTGTATGTGTCTGTGAATGAAGCTACTTCTTCAACCCTACCAATTAACATTGGTGTTCCACAGGGCAATATACTTGGTCCTCTCCTCTTTCTCATTTATATCAATGATCTTCCAGATGCCTCTCAACAAATCAAGCCAATTCTCAACAACAAAATTTCCATCTTTGCCTGACTGCTAAAAAACTCACCCTTAACATAGATAAAACTGTCTATATTTTGTTTGGTAATAAATTCACATAAAATTAACAAAATAATTAACAATAATATATCCAAATTAGTAAGAGAGTGATGGTAAATTTCTTGACATTCTCATTGGTAACAAGTTGAATCTCCAGTGCCATATACTAAACATAGTCAAAAAAAAATTCTGAAGCAGTTGGCATTCTTTCAAAAAATCAGGTATTGTAGAATGTACATCGCTCTTCCCTGGTAACACTTTATTACTCGCTCATCTATCCTTATCTCACCTATGATACCTGTGCCTGGGGTTCTTGTACCCAAAATTATCTATGATCCCTAATTACTCAACACAAATCAGCAATTAGAAAAATAATAAACTTGAACACTGGACAGCACTCGACCCCCCTTACTTAAATCTTTGAATATGTTATATATTAAGTCACTACACATCCTCTCCAGTGTACTGTATATATGTGTGTGTATGAATGTTTATTTTTATTTAATTTAATTATATACAAGAAGGTATATTGGGTTTGTGAGAGTACATAACATTGGTGTTCTTACATTGTTGCAAAGCCACTAACACGCATAGCATTTATAGCCTACCCATGATTCATACAATCTTCTTATATCCTATGTATGTATGTACTGTATTTACTTTTGCTTGATTAAATAAAATTATTATTACTTTTATATAATAATAATAATTGGTATATCAGATCTTTAACTAGAGTATTTGTATGCAGACAAGGAGTCACAATAACGTGGCTGAAATATGCTGACCAGACCACACACTAGAAAGTGAAGGGACGACAGGGACGAAGGGACAATGCATGAACAGTTTCATTTACATTTCAGTCCGCCCTGGACCACTTCCAAGTCGATTGAGAATGGTCCAGGATGGACCAAAATGTCGTCGTCCCTTCACTTTCTAGTGTGTGGTTTGGTCAACATAGAGTATTTGTAAATTACTGCACAGTACTCACAAGAAAGACGAGTGATGTTGCGGGAGTGTTGCATTTACAGTTGATTAGAGCTAAGCAATCTGGGAACTGTCCTTGGCGAGCTCCTACAAAGCACAGCCTGTATGGAGAAAAATTATCATAGTCAGGAATACATTTTCTACATTAGAGATTGGCTGGTCAAGTAAAAGTTTCCTTAATTAAATTGGATCTGAAGTAATAACACCTGAAATGTGATTGAAACTAATAATGGTTTTGACATCCAGTGTTTCTCACTAAACATGTTCGAACTTTATACAGCTCGTTTGCAAAAGTGCGCTTGCTCTTTTGTGCATTTTTCATTCAACACCTTTGCTTCCATAGCTTGAATCTATGAGCTTTTACAGGTTTAACAAGTTCTTCTTGTTGATTCCTTTAGTGATTATATCACATCTTCCCCCATCTTCTAGCGTTAGCATGATTAACACCTCCAGCCTCTCCTCATTGCTCATGTTCTAGAGTTCTGGAGCCATTTAGTAGCATGTCTTTGCACCCTTTCTAATTAATTTCTGTGCTTGTTGAGATATGGGCACCACACCACTGCTGCACATTACAATTTTGATCTCACAACTTGCATGAACAGTTTCATTAATATTTCTTCTTCCATATGTTCAAACACTGTTTTTGAAATTTGCTATTATAACATAGACTCCTTTCATAATGGCCTTTATATAGTAGTCTGGTAGCAGCTTACTATCCAGAACCACCCTTAGACCTTTTTCATTGTCGGAGGTTTTTTGTATGTTTTCACATAATTTGTAGGTTAAGTGTGGTCTATTCTCCCCTAGTTTACATTTCATTATGTGACATTTATTTACATTGAATTCCAGTTTCCAGAACAAACTCTTGAGTGGGACTTTGTCACAAACCTTTCTTCCATGTCCAGGTAAATGCAGTCAACCATACATTTCCTGTAAAATCTCTATAGGTCTATCACAGAAACAAGGTAAATTCATTACACATGATCTTCCAGATCAAAAATCATATTGTCTGTTTTTGTCATTTTTCTAGCTGTTCTTCCCATTTGGTTTTAATTATATTTTATCCAGTATTTTGACTAATACACTTGTCAATGATATAGGTCAATTATTAAGGGGGTCTTCCCTGATGCTACTGTTATAGACTGAAATTACATTAATCTAGACTGAAATTACGTTAGTCTTTTTCCATTAAATCCACCAGGACTCCTGTAAACAGGAATGCCTGAAAAATCAGTTGAAGTGGAATGCTGAGCTCAGGTGCACATTCTTTCAGAACCAATGGTGAAACTCAGTCTGGGCCAACTGCTTTGTTCCTACTTAGCTTCTTGAGCATTTTTGCCATTTCATCTGTGCTCTATGTTGTTCTCTAGAATTCTTATTGTGTCTGGTTCTCTGAAAATTTCATTTTACACACACACTTTGGAACTGTTCATTTAAGGTTTCACACATTTATTTTTCATTTTCCATGAATCTGTTAAAAATTTTCAACCTCTGAATTTTATTCTTTACCTGCGGTTTGCTTCTAATGCATTAATACAATAGGCCTGGTTCTGTTTTATAGTTGTCCAATATCTATTTCACACAATTTCTTTCTGGCTTTCTTCTCACTGCTGTGTAGTTGTTTTTTGCTTCTTTGTATTGTTGGTATGTTAGAGGGTTTGGCCTCTTTCTATAATGATTCCATTTTTGTCTTTTGGTCTCTGGCTCTTTCACAATTTCTGTTGAACCAATCCTGTTTCCTAGTTCAACAGCTCTGTTTTGGTATAAATTTGTTTTGTGCCTTTAACATATATTTTGCAAAACTTGACATACATCTTTTGTATGTATGTATGACATACATACATACATTCATACATACTTCTTTGCTAACAATGTCTTCCAAATCAAATTCATTAAAGAAATTTCTAAGTTCCCCATAGTGCCCTCTCCTGAAATCAGGTTTTTCAACTTGTGATAAATTCATTTCGATAAAATGCAATTAATAAAAGTTAGTTATGAAAGCTGAAGATCAAATACTATGCATATACGTATTCTCTTTTAAATAAAAAATCTGACTGGACATCATGGCAGATAATTCCTATCATATATACATCATCATGACCAACAACCAACAATAATAATAAACGAAACCATTTAATTGGCATAGGAGTACAATATACTGTATATGCATACACATGGTTACAATGTGACAGTTAGGGATATTAGTTTCACCAAAAATACATGACTGATATTTGAAGAGTGCATATATTCACCCTATAAATTTATAACATGTAAAGGACTAACCTTGATGAAGTCATGATGTGAACTGATAAGCCGCCTAAGGCTGAGAGTGCCACCAAAATAGGCATTATCCAGCTTCCATACGACATTAGCCTATTTGCAAATGTCTGCAAAAATTAAAATAATTATGTACTGCACTGTTTATGATAGACACAGAGGAGAAATACTTAAAAAGAATTTCACAACATACATGAAACCTACACTAGAATTAGCAGCAGTTAAATTGTGTCCATATCTCAAAACACAGATAAAATATATAAAGAGCAAAAAAATGCTAAAAAATGCCTCCCAGATCTGTAAACTTTGGAGGGAGGTTGGTAGTGTTTAACGTGTAAAAACAACGGGACAGAAGAAACAAAACGTTTTAGATAAGGGGAAAAAAATGTGGAGAAGATGTAGAAGAAACACGTGATAGTCATGGTTATGCAGAATGTCACAAAACAGACGACCTTTTTAAATACGGGAATAACCACAATGGAAAAGGAAAACAGCATAAATATTACTACTTTTTTGTTTACTCGCGTCGTTTTACACATCATACAACCATAGTATCTTCAGTGAACAAGGCGACAAGGAAATTACTTAGCCATTTACAAAATGTATAAATCAATTCACAGAGTGGAATGTGAAGACAGTCCAAGATTGTACTTACCACAGCAATAGCATCTGATGCTAACATAGCTGATGGTGTAAGAACAGCCAAGTAAGCCACATTGGCCAGCACATACACCATCGTCACCAAAGGCAGGGAAATGTAGATGGCTCGTGGCAAGTTGCTGAAAAGAGAATAATATGGATGTTGGCTTCATAATTATACTACTAAACTTGAAGTAGTTGATTCCTAATGTATTCAAGTATAGAAAGTTGACTTGTGAATAGGCTCTTTAGCTAGTAAATTTATTTTGATATATAGTACTGTATAAAGATAAACTTTTGTTTTTCACCACGATTTATTTCCAAACAAATGATGTTTAAGCAAACTGCATAGTATTTTGTAGTGAATAGGGAGCCGGTCGGCCGAGCGGACAGCACACTAGGCTTGTGATCCTGTGGTCCTGGGTTCAATCCCAGGTGCCGGCGAGAAACATTGGGCAGAGTTTCTTTCACCCTATGCCCCTGTTACGTAGCAGTAAAATAGGTACCTGGGTGTTAGTCAGCTGTCACGGGCTGCTTCCTGGGGGTGGAGGCCTGGTTGAGGACCGGGCCGCGGGGACACTAAAAAGCCCCAAAATCATCTCAAGATAACCTCAAGAATACTGTTAAAACACAAAATAATTCAATGACCCAAAATTGTATTACATAAAATTCCAGCTTTGAATGTAAATGAATACAAATTTTCTCAGTAGTACTCTTGGTTGCTCTCTTAGGTATGATCTTGCACACTATTGGTAAAGGTCTACTGCTCTTAAGGTAGACCGACAAATCCGCACCAGTGCAGTGGGAAACTTTACAAACCATCCTTGTCAAGATATTCTCATGCTACAGAAATGCAGGAAAACACTCAATTCAGCCCTAAATGTAAACAGTAAAGTGCTTTCTCAATATCCAAAAAACCTTTCCCCCAAGTGCAAGTAAGCAACACAGAATTCCCAAACTGCACATGGGAAACCAATGACTAGGTCACTACTAGCTACTGCCACCAGGTGCCAGTGCCAATACTACAGTACAGGACTTCCCCTGAAATGCAGGTGGCAGGTGCCTTCTGGTCGGTGCTCTGCTGGAGTGTAATTTTGGCATGGGTCTTCTTGTATTAACATCTGCTTATTTTGGCTTTTCTTCATATGGATCTTCTTGAGGTTATCTTGAGATGATTTCGGGGCTTTTAGTGTCCCCGCGGCCCGGTCCTCGACCAGGCCTCCACCCCCAGGAAGCAGCCCGTGACAGCTGACTAACACCCAGGTACCTATTTTACTGCTAGGTAACAGGGACATAGGGTGAAAGAAACTCTGCCCAATGTTTCTCGCCAGCGCCTGGGATCGAACCCAGGACCACAGGATCACAAGTCCAGCGTGCTGTCCGCTATGCCGACCGGCTTCCCCTCCCCCCCGTCCATATGTTTTTTCCCCCCTAGCTGTGGTGTCGTAGATGCTTTCTGGATCATTCTACTTTTTCCCACTAGATAGTATAGAACTTCCTCACAGCCTGCAGTCTAAGATCCTCGACTGCTTGCCTTTCCTAGGCTCAGGTAGATTTGCCTGGGGGTAGACTGCAGGCAGCGAGGAAGGACTTACCTGATGGAAAAATATGGGATGACCCAGCAAACATCTAGGTCATCAAGAAAGACAAGACAGCTGAGTAGTGCCAAGAAAAAGGCAAACCAAGGGAGAAACACACAGGGATTCTGGACATGAAGAAAAGACCTGGGTTAGGCATGATTTACAATACAATACTGAACATGATCAAGTAGGCAGGAACGATCAATATGCTGAGAAACTGACTGCTCTTAATAATATGATAGAGACACCAAGGAAACACCCAAGAGCAAAATCCCAAGTCCACAGATTGGGGGAAAAGGGCAAAGCACAAATCCTTTGGGAGCTTCATTGTGTGGTTCTTTTTGGCCCATTGCTCCTTCTCCCTTTAGTCTCGTTTCTGAGCAGGTCCCTCAGTTGATTCCATTGTTGCCTCTTAAATCCGGCTTTTCTGAGAAACTTCATTGGCCTGGGCTAGAAGGGTTGACTGCCTACGCAGGCGATGAGTCACAATAACGTGGCTAAAGTATGTTGACCAGACCACACACTAGAAGGTGAAGGGACGACGACGTTTCGGTCCGTCCTGGATCATTCTCAAGTCGATTGTCGACACAATCGACTTGAGAATGGTCCAGGACGGACTGAAACGTCATCGTCCCTTCACCTTCTAGTGTGGTCTGGTCAACAAATTGACTGCCTACTCCTCTATGTCCTGGTGCCCATGCAGCTATCTGGTTGCAGTCAATGCAATGCTAGTTGCTACTTGAAGTTAGCAAAGCAAATAATTGTGTGTCCTGTGATTCCAATTTTATCTTGGAAAGAGTTCGTGAATAAAAATTATTTGTAACTTTGAGATAAATGGTTCATTAATGGTGGATTGAGTTGGACACTGCTATGATTAGAAGCTGATAAATGAAATAGTTTTGGATGGGTCACTTAGTCTCTAGCTTAGGAGACAAGCCCAATGTAACTATCAAAGGTTATAGTTATCAAAGACAGCTCATCTAAACTATCATAAATGTTGAAATAATAAAGGCTCTAAGATTACACTAACGTAACTTACACAAAAGGATTCCTCAATTCTTCTGTCATAAAGTTGAGGTAGTTCCATCCAGCATATGAGAAAATGCCTGAATAGAAAGATACAGCAATCTGTCCAGGTTCAGTTGAAGTGCCTTCAAATGAATTATGGAAGTTCTGAGTATTTCCTGTTGGGAAGAAATCAAATTATTTCTTTTAAAATAAGCAAATTTAATAGAAGCAACAATACTTATACAGTCAGTCACACACAGTTACACAAGACATATTACTGAAGACATGTAAACACACAAATGCAGGGAGGAGAATGACGAGTCAAGAAAAAAAGTGTAAAAGGCAAGAGAAGTGGGAACAGAGATAAATAGGAAGGCACAAAAGTGGCAGAAATTAGTATGTTAGAGCAAAGAGAGCAATAAATGCAGGCAATGAGTCACAATAACGTGGCTAAAGTATGTTGACCAGACCACACACTAGAAGGTGAAGGGACGACGACGTTTCGGTCCGTCCTGGAACATTCTCAAGTCGACTTGAGAATGGTCCAGGACGGACTGAAACGTTGTCATCCCTTCACCTTCTAGTGTGTGGTCTGGTCAACAGAGCAATAAATCATCAATTTTGAAACAAAAAAGTAACAAAATCCATAAAACTTCTACAGCCATTTATTTATTTATCTGAATTTAACTGAAGCTCCTCCGTATCTAGTAACCTTAACAGGGACAGCAGGTACAGCAGCTGTACAGAGCTTACCTCATTATTTCTGAGGATTTTGCAGCTCTATTTTAAACTGAAGTAATGTACTGGCATTTATAACTTCAGTCCTGCTGTGTGGCTACTTGAGTTTGAAGCTGTTACCGCTAGTTTGACTTTAGACATTTATTGGACCTTTAAAGGTAGTAGTATCAATTAATATCTTCCAATGTGTTCAGTACTGTATGCACTCGCTCATCTGAATTCCGTTAAACCAGATACTGTACAACGGTATTTGTGTTATCTGATGAAAATCACATCCGAATATTTTCTGGCAAATCTTTATCATATCAGGATAACAGCTGGAGGTTTGGCTGGATGACACAAGACAGGCATAGTCTAAATCAAGTCCGGATAACGTCCTGCCAACCTCACCATATCTCAACAGAAATCTGGAAAACCGGAGATTTTGCTGGATACTGCAGACAAACCTCAGGCCATACCGTATTAATCTTGTATAGCAGTAATCTTGTATAGCAGTATCTCGAAGCTTGTGGTATGGGAGGTGCTGGGGTGTTTTTTTTTTTTGGGGGGGGGGGGGAGTTGGGATAGACTGTCTATGGAGAATGAGGGACATGGGGAGGGGGCTATGATCTGTATTGTATTAATATACAAGAACTTGTTAGAACAATTCATTACAGTAAAAACTAAAGGAAATATTATCTAATATTATAACAAATACAAATTTCTTAAATACTACGTGTACAGGATGAAGACTGTAGTTTCCTGCTAAAATTTGGGGATTTTTTTTTCCATCTGGCACCTTACGCAATGTGCCTGCCTGCCCCAAGTGAACCCATCCAGGCCTGTCAAGCTAAACAGGCCATATGCTCTCGACCCTCGTGTTATACCATAATGCCGCATAATTAGTGAAACATTTTCTTTAATATTTTTGTTTTTGTTTTTATGGTAACTTTGATAATTTTTTGCCAAGGTTGTGTCTGGTAGCGATAATAATCGTTCTGAAGGTGTCACGCGGAAGAAGATTGTGCTAACCATTAAGGGACTTAAACAGAGGGGTTGTGTGTTGTTTGAAAACTGCATTTGCTATAGTTCTGATAGCAGACTTTTGCTGAGTAGGCTTAAGATAATTTGCAGCGGTTGAACCCCCATGCGCAGATACCGTATGCAAGATAGGGATAGATTAGTGTGTAGTATAATGAGAGGAGAGCAGAGTGGGGAACATAATCTCTGATTTTAAAAAGTATACTGACCATTTTTTTTTTTTTTTTAGAGTTTTTTGGCTGTGTTGTATGTAAGTGCTGAAGTTCAGTTTCTTGTCTGTGTATAGGCCAAGGATCTTTCCCTCATTTTTATTGGTAATGTTAACATTGTCTATCTGAAGTTGTATCTGATTTGATGATTTACTACCAAATAAAATGTAGGTCTTTTCTATGTTTAGTGTAAGTTTGTTAGTTGACATCCATAAGTGACTTTTTTCTTTTAATTCATTGTTGACAATAACTTTAATATAGGTTTAAGAATGCTAGAAAAATTGATGTACTGTATATAAGAAATATAGGTCCCAAAATACTGCCCTGTGGCACCCCTACTTTGTCAATGACAGAGTGGAGGTAATACTATTGATGGTTACATATTGGTGTCTGTCATCAAGATAGGAACGAATATAGTCAGAGCAAGGCCTCGGATAGCATAGTGGTGAAGTTTAAGTAAGAGGTAGTTATGGTTTACGGTATCAAAGGCCTTTCTGAGGTCAATGAGGAGACCAATTGGGAACTCATTTTTGTCAAGGGCTGTGTACATTATATTAAGCAGACTAGCAAACTAAAGGGTGAGATATGGCACATTGGATGACCTGTAGCACAATGGTTAGTGAAGTTGGTTCACAAGCAGTTGGTCCTGGACTTGAATTTCTGGCAAGACAAGAAGTTTGAGGACATTTCCTTACACCGACTGATTCCAATCACCCAGCAGCAAATAGGTACCTGGGAATTAGTTGACTATTGTGTGTCAAATTTTGGGAATTAAATATTGGCAAGAGGCTGCTCAATAAGCTTAACAGGTTTCCTGTCCACAACAATGGGATGCCATATACTGAGGAAGAGGAAGGGATAGGTATGGATGGACAGGGAAAAAAAAGTTTACAAATATATTATTATTGCCTTCAAAAATATTAAACTTAAACAAATATTGCCTACCCATAAATAAGTGCACCATGCCAGCAACAATAACGAGAAGAAGAGCCCCAATTTTGGTGACCATGAAGGCATCCTGAAGCTTGGTGGTCACTCGAACATTCCAACAGTTAATAAACGTCAGAAATGCTGCAAGAGAAACAAAATAAAAGTGAATATGAATGAATGAGTGAATATGAAAGCGCCTTTCAAACCATGACACGAGTATACGCCCAATGGCAAGATCACTGCTGGTCTCGTTGGACAGAATCATGAGGATTATGAGAACGCAATATTACGAACTGGAGAAATGGTAATCTTTTCCAATGTCCCTGTTGAATCATACCAGTGCTAGAAAGACAGTGAAGAAAAGCTCAAAACCAGCCCAGGATGACTATAAAAGTTCACTCATAAACACTTAAAGCCTTTCTAAGTCCTACTTGTCATCTCAAAGGTCACGAAGTTGTACTCTTGCAAATGGCAGTATGCCCACTTGGCTGCTACTCCTGACCACCCCAGATGGCAGAACTAGCACAAACATCCAAACTACTGCTTCAAGCCACATCATATTATGATTGAAGTAAAAAGAAAACTATACACATAGGCATATCAGAAAGAAGAAAGAAAGGAGGACTGCACGAAAGTAAGAGCATCTGAATATTCTGTTTGGAAAGTTTTTCATATTCAAAGACAGATTTCTGAGTTATTCCACTAGAATGCTGCATAAAGTAAGCTTGAGGCAGAAGTATGAAACTAGCTGCCAAAGGAGACTCAAGACCCTGCCAAGAAGAGCAGCAGCAGCTTAACTTTAAGAGATACAGTGCAACACTGATAACACGGGTGGGATATCCTGGGGGTGTAGCAGGCAGTGAAAATGCAGTTGGGCTGCCGGAAGCCCTGATCATGAACGTCAGAAGAGGCCATAACCGAGAAAAAAAACATTAAGCATAGTAAACGTCAAAAGTTATGCACCCAATTATATATCTAAAGGTGACTCAAATGAACCCCTAAGAGCAGCTGAAAGATGCAGGCAGCAAGGTATGAGGAGGGGTAAGGTGGGGAGATGTACAAGAAAATATAGTTTCTTTACAATTGGATCAAACCCGCAAGCACACGCACTATATTTCCTGATAGATGCATCTTGTGATTTCATTGTGAAAAAGAGGCATAGTTTAAGCTTGCAGAGGCAGAGAGATACTGACATAAGGCAGCAAGAAAAGATGATGATGATGCGCCCAGGAATGAAAAAACTTACCTCTAATCAAGATGGGACTCATTTTAAAGAAGAAAGCTTAATATTAGCACAAGAAGCTAGGGTGAGCATGGAGATGTATGGAATGATTAAGCCAAGACTTAGGAGGAGAGTAAGAAGAACACATACTTGGTAGTGCATAGCAATGGCAAGCAGGGACAATGTCTCGAGTTATAGGAAGTCCTCAATTTTTGCATGGGTTAACATTCCTTTAAAACCTGTTTCAAGCAAAAGCAGCACATATTGAGAAAATGGGGTTATGCTCCAAAGACCTCCAAAAGTCAACTTTTTTCTCAATGAAACATATATTTTCACTTTAAATTTAATGCTCTCCTCCATTTTCCAAAACCATAGGAATATATAATGAAGTGCAGAATGATTGGGAGGTGCACAAGTACACATATGAATGGGGCTAATCTCATTGAGACCTTTAAAATATTAAATAAATTAGAAGATAATGATGCAATCCACATTTTTAAAAACTACATTGTAAATCTCCCAAGGGAACAAATTCAAGCTCAACAAGCCACAATGTAATATAGATAACAGGAGATGCTTTTCTACCCACAGGGTAATAAACTCACCAAAATGTCTACCTGCTGAAGAGGTATTTGCCAAGACAATACAAAACATCAGTTCAAAGTTTAACTAGAAAAATCCTCAAATAATAGATGAAACCTTTGACAAGGTGGCCGTTTTATGTCGCCTTCAAAGCCACTTAAGATGGTGGCTGTCGGGTAAATATTGGATGTCCCATCACAAGTAGAACTGGGTGGCAAACAATAACCCTTAGGAAGCAAGGGTGAGGGTAATCAGTGACTGAACAACACAATAACAAACACAGTGTAGCCACTAAGAACTTAGCCAAGGCCAGATCTAGAAGGTAAAGAAACTTCTCATTCCACATAGAGCCAAGTGTTCCAAAATTCCCAGCACAAATACCGAAAACTGGAACAAAGCATAAAAAGGAACCCTAAATGTACTGGAAACCACAAGAGGAAGCACTCAGTGTCGAAGTACAAGCTGACACCAAAGTTTTTAAGGATAAATACAAGGCACTTGGCTGAACCCAGCCTCTATCCAATGTCAAACCATGACAATAACCGGTCAGGTAAATTATGATGGAGTTACAAGAACAGGACTGGGTGCTAGCATATCTTCTGGTGGCTAATGATCAGCTGTCCATTGCGGCAATGGACAGCTTGACCACCGTACTGACATTGATTAGCTGTCAGTATGGCAAATGGTCAGTTTTCAAGCAATCTACATTGTAGTCCTTTGTGATATATAATATGGCTTGGAAAGGGTTTGAGTGTTTATGAGCAAACTTTGTGATCATTTTGGACTGAATTAAGCTTTTTGCCAATACCTCCAAAGAGTCGGTATAACCAGAGCACAGAAGTACAGTATTTGAAAAGATCTATTGCACCAGTGCAGAAAATCACCCCGTCTGTCATGATCCTTTCCAATGGGACCAGCAGTGATCTTGTTTGAGGATAGAATAGCTCAGGATACATCAAATATCTCCAAGTTACTATTTGTTACTGATAAGAAAAAAATTCACCCTGTTACCTGTTACCTATTAACTGCACATGTAACAAAATACATTGGTCAAGTTTAAACAATCTCTGGCTATTAATATAACCATTGATACTGACAGTTAAAGTTTAGTTTGAGAGGTTGCAATGGATTTAAGCTTTACATTAAGAGTTTAACAAACATTAAAGATGATATATATTTTTTACAATATTTGTTTTAATTTGATGATTTTGAAAAATCGTAAAATATCGGATTAAATTCTAATGAATTCTTTACTAGATATTTCCCCCAAGACCCCAACACTATGAAGCTAAACAGATTTTGAAGAACATACTGATAATTCCTTGTATTTCACACAGCTCCTACAACGGAGGCCATTACCTAAGCAACAAATATGACTACAGGACTGTAATTGCATTTGTTATTCCGTTGGCTACCTTTAAATTACTGATTTTCAGAGTTGAATAGCTATTACCTAAAGTACCAATTTTAATTTAGTGCATGGGAGCCATATATCAATGGTTGTTCATCCAAGATATTAAAGTTCAGCAACCAGTGCACTTCTCACGACGTATTAAGTTTACCCAAGAGCTACATGCCAGTCAGAAGACTTAAAATAAGAATCATGGCTCTAGCTACTCAGCTGTCACCCCCTGTCTGCCTCTTTATATGATAAACTGAAACCTAAGTGAGTTATTACCATTAACACAACAAATTATAATTGTTTAAACATGAAATTGAAGGCAAAATGCTTCCTGAAGACTAAATGTTGAAACAATGTTGTTGGCAATATCCTGATATTTTTTTTCTGTATAAATGCAAAAGTACAAGTTTATAAAGCTACTGTGCAGTAGATTATAAAGCTACTGTGCAGTAGATCATGAAGCTACTATGCAGTAGATTATGAAGCTACTATGCAGCAGATTATGAAGCAACTATGCAAAATCATTAATCATTATACAGTTCTAGAGCGAACTGCAGGCTACCATGTTTCAGGTTTAAACAAACTTAAGGCCTATTATAAATTACACAATTATGCACCTGCTCATGTAGTCAGGAAGAAAAACCTCTATGATTACATCCACATTTAATATCAAGTATGTTGACCAGACCACACACTAGAAGTTGAAGGGACGACGACGTTTTGGTCCGTCCTGGACCATTCTCAAGTCGATTGTGAGAATGGATTCGAGATTGGATTGGAGATTGGAATCACAATCGACTTCAGAATGGTCCAGGACGGACCAAAACGTCGTCGTCCCTTCAACTTCTAGTGTGTGGTCTGGTCAACATACTTCAGCCACGTTATTGTGACTCATCGCCTGCACATAATATCAAATCATTAAATGTGTTAAGAGATCAATGAGTTAGTGTATAAAATATTAACCTCCATCAATGCCCTGAAGATCACACAAAAGCATAGTGAGGACTTTAGTCTTCATGAGCCACAGGGTTCCTGTTCCACGCCAGCTCAATTAACATGATGATGATAATTGTTATTACACAGAGTAATCACATTAATGTGATTTATCAATGAGAAAATTTGTAGCAGCTGTGATGAGGATTCGAATCTGGGTGCTGGGTATACCCAGGCATATGTCTCGGACATCCAGGCCACGACATGGTACAAGGTTGACCAGATCACACACACTAGAAAGTGAAGGGACGACGACGTTTCGGTCCGTCCTGGACCATTCTCAAGTTGATTGTGATTCTCACAATCGACTTGAGAATGGCTCAGGACGGACCGAAATGTCATCGTCCTTTCACTTTCTACTGTGTGGTCTGGTCAACATATTTCAGCCACATTATTGTGACTCCTCGTTTGCACATGGTAAAAGGATTGCAACCTAGAGTTCTATTGAACACACGAGGGTTCCTGAGGCTTCCACTGAAGGATTTTCTTATTGATGCATCACATTAGTGTGATTACTCTGTGTTGTGAAAGAGGAGCATCAGAGTTAGACCAGAGCACATGGGGGGATTGTGTGAAACCCTAGTCCAGCTTCAGTGGAAGTCTCGGAAACCCTCATATGCTCAGTAGAACTCTAGGTTGTTATCTTTTACTATGTCGTGGCGTGGTTGTCTGGGGCATGTGCCAGGAAATACCCAATGCATAGGTTCGAATCCTCATTACAGCTCCTATGGATTTTTGCGTTATCATAACTGATATCATCTTTATTATTTACATGACAATATGATAATTATTTGCACAAGGAATGAAATGCACAGCACTTCATAATTAAAACTTACACAAACACGTCTTTATATTCTAAGCTTTTCCAGTTATAAGATGCAAGTGTAATACAATAAGACAAATGAGAAACGCTCTTATTACAGTGTAGGTCGTCATGCAAAAAATGTTTTCATCATTCTGTTTCTATATTATATTATTTAGCTCCCTCTATTATTAACTTATTTAATGTTAAATATTTGTATTATTGTACTGTGCATCAAACTCATCCATTAGAATTCTTCATATTCAAGCAAATGTGCAATAATTTTTCCTTAGTACGAGCTAAGCAGTAATTCTCAACACTAAAATGTCTATGATGATATTGTTACTGTATATTACATTTGTCACCATAAATAAATAAAAAAAATAGTTTACACTTGCTCCATTATAAACTACCTCTATAGCCCTTAAAAAATAAGATACAATGTTGTTATTGTAAACACTTCTCAAATCTCTAAACACAGAACATGGAATTAGTAACTATGTTAGTGTGTGTTTCATCAATTATTGTTTTCAGAGAAAACCTGCAGTTGGATGATGAATAAATTGCCTAAGGCAAATTGTTTGTTGGCCATTTAAAATATGAACGAAGTGGCATACAAAATGACAACTGGAAGGATATGTTTTGTCACACCTCAACATCTATATAAAGCTGATTGATGCACTGCTCTCAATGCATCTTGTCAGTTTAACTATATAATACAGCTGGGGAAAAGGAAGGAGACTGATTAGTCTTGGTAACTATTGCTCAACAAGGTACTATAGAGTGGGAAGGAAAAAGGAGTTACTCTCTTATCCCCCAACTGATGGCTCCATCTTTAACACTCACACTGCCGAGTCACTTGATGATCTGCTCCATTATCTCCATCTCCTTATTTTCTGTTAGCTAATGCTACTTTTCCATTGTCCTATTTTTTTTTTTCCTTTTTATGTGCCAATTCTCACATGCCAAAAAAGGCATCATCCATTACATGGGTTCTTGTGTCTGCAAGCAAGTGGCAGCTGCGTCACTTTTATGATGGGGCAAACCAGCACATAAAATCCTTTGACAAATGTTTCAGTTGTTCCTTCAGGTTGGACGTTGCTTCTCTCCACTTTTCCCCTGTGCACTCAGCAGCAACTGAGGAACCTGGATTTAAACTGTTTGGTGTATCGTGTTCTGGGGACAACATACTAGGGTTAGCTTCTAAAATGTGATTATGTGGTAGGAAACAACTCTTAGCCTGTAAATATACAGGATAATTACTCCCACATTTATTCCTATTCCTGTGTTAAAAAAATAAATAAAGCTGGGGAAGAGTCTACATGAGGTAAACCTTGCATGAGCCGTTCTCTAACAGACCTTGACCAACAAAATTGATCTAGATAGAAAAGAATGATTTAGTTAAACATGTTATGATTAATATAGCATTCCATATTCCCAAAAAACTTTAATATCTGTGATTGTGAATTTGATACATTTAGTGTTCTGTCATACAGGTTCATCAGCAGATCCATATATATATAAAAAAGAGAAGCCTATTCAGAGTAACTATGCTTTTAATACTTATAATATTTGTATAACCAAGCAAGGTTAAAATGTTTTTCAAGTTGAAAGTTGGTGAAATGTTCAAGATTAAATGTATGACCAGCCTCAAGAACATGATCTCAAATATATTAACATAGATTCTCAGCACATTGTATTACAATAATGCTGTCATGTAATACAAATGCTACTACTAGTATTTAAAATTCCTAGAATAACTTGTTATTTCATGCTTACTTTCAACTCTGAAGATGTCAAAATATATTTTACTTCATTTTTTCTTATTAAAAATGAACACAGTAGTGTTATGTGATTAATTTTATTCATATTAGTGTTAACTTAATCATGACAAAACACAAAAATAATACCATGACACAATCTACAAAGCTTCAAAATGTGATGCAATAAAAGGTTATGGCTATAGAGTAGCAAGTCTGCCAGGAACTTACAGATGGCAAGTGCTGCGATGAGCCGGACCGAAGAATCCGGCATGTCACAGCTTGGGAAGAACGGCTGTATGACATACTTGGCAAATGTCAAACCCATGATGGCGTTAGTTGTAGGACTGAAAATTGCATGTATGTTAGAAAACATAATTTCCTGCAACAATATTAAATTGTAACACAAACAGTGCTACTTTATTCATGATTTTTTTTTTATTTTACTTGTTACATATGACCTTAATATTACGGTAGTTCACTAGCCAATATGAAACACTATGAAATACAGCGTGTGTGTAAACCATAATACAAAACTATTAAAAAAAGAGTGAGAAATATATTACAGAATTATTTTAATTAATGTGTTTGTATTTTACTCAAAAGTAGTAAATACAGTACTACTCTTATGTGTTATTTTTAGGGGAAATAATCATGCAAAATATTTAAGCAATGCAGTAATTTAAAAATTGCTTTAACTGTAGTACTGTATAAAATTTTTGCATTACACTATTTATGGAAATATGTAAACAAATTACAATGTAACACAGTAGAGACTTACACAAATATAAGATTCGCATCCCATAAAAATAGAAAAGAGGGAAGAGATCCGAAGGCTGTGTTGATATAAGCATAGTCCCCTCCGGATTTGGGTATAGAAGTGCCCAGCTCGGCATAACATAGGGCACCAATCATGGACAGCAAACCACACAGTATCCATACAATTAGAGACATTCCCACACTGCCAGTTTCTTGTAGTACGCCCTTCGGTGAAATGAAGATACCTATGAAAAGAAATAATATATTCTACGATGCCTTCATTAGAGCTACAGGCAAAAAAGGTGCAGTGCTCAAATAAATATTATGGTCCCGTATTTAATTATTTTTTTATGTATAATAAGGTTTATCATCTTGTTAGGTAATAAGAGCCAGAGAAATGTAAATTTTGGTAATTATTGGGCTTTATAGGCAATTTTATGGACAGCAAACAATGCACCAAGGTTGCCCTTCACAGCTGAGTGAATCCAGGCTGTGTCAGTTTACTTTTAGGGCCAGAGTAGTGATCCCAGTGCTTGGGTGTCTTGCTTGGTTTACCCTTCAGGCCCTGGAAATCCCCAGTGGGTTCTGTGGTCCTATGGATATGGATATATTCCCTGAACCTGCTTTAGCTTCGTGCATGTTTGAGGGTTATTCATCGGTCATGCATCGTTCGTTGGTGGGTTAGGGTTTTGGTTTATTTTAACATCTGGTTCACGTAGGGCTCCCAGCTGGTTTGTGTCTGCTACCCAACAATTTGATTCTTTCCCAGATCACTTGGTGTGACAGATGTTGTTGGGGTGAGGGAATATGTTGGCGACTGATGGTGCTGGATGAATGAAGATGTTAGTCATTTACACAGTCCATGTTGACAACTTCTTTAGGGTATCTGTGATGGACACACCCTTCAATTATTATTATTATTATTATTATTGAGAAAACCCACTAGGGCTACGAGGTGGCGCGAGTGCTTGTGGGTCATGCGTAAGAACTTGGACTGGCTTCTCCAGACTTCCCAGAGAACTGTGATTTCAGTTGAAATCTGATGGTATGACTTTTTCAAGCCAGCGGTGGTCCAATAGTAAAGTATGCGGCTGGCAGTGCCGAGGTTATTGGTTCGCGCCCACCTCAAAGGCCTCGTGGATTTTCTCATTGATCTATTAGGTTAGTGTGATTATTACTATTATTATTTTATGACCTTGAAAACAAGGTCATTTGTGTGTTCTTATTGGCAGAAAGTGTTGTAAATTTTATGAAGCTAAACCACTTTCAATGCTCTTGGTAGCCAATGAATCATGTAGAGGTTGCAGTTTACATCGAGTATTTGCGACACTGTAATAAATGATATATGTGTCGTACCTAGTAGCCAGAATGCACTTCTCAGCCTACTATGCAAGGCCCGATTTGTCTAATAAGCCAAGTTTTACTGAATTAATATATTTTCTCTAATTTTTTTCTTATGAAATGATAACGCTAACCATTTCATTATGTATGAGGCCAATTTTTTTTTATTGGAGTTAAAATTAATGTAGATATATGACCAAACCTAACCAACCCTACCTAACCTATCGTTATAGGTTAGGTTAAGTTAGGTAGCCGAAAAAGTTAGGTTAGGTTAGGTTAAGTAGGTTAGGTAGTCGAAAAAACATTAATTCATGGACACTTGGCTTATTAGGCAAATCGGGCCTTGCATAGTAGGCTGAGAAGTGCATTCTGGCTACTAGGTACGACATATGCAATATTAAAAATAAATCTGTGGTATTCCCACACCACATTTTAATATGCTAGAAAATGCAAATCAAAATAGTCATAAATTATCATACATTAATAATTCATCCCCTCTGTAATGGGGACTATTATCACCAAGTCAAACTCTTAAATCATTGCTAAATTGTCTTCCCGGTTTGGCGCCTTTTTTTAACAGTAACTTACTTTTGAATTAAATAACGATGTCTAAGTTAAAATTTTCACTACAGACTAGCTCCCTAGCAGATAAGAATATTTACAAAAACAATAAAAGAATAGACTAAACAGCAGAAGCCAATTTTAATTCTCAAATCTTCGATGATAATGTTTGAAACTATCTAAGTGTGTATCTTCTCAGACAGCATAGAAACATTCACGAACTGTTCAGTTTCCTGTTCTTATGAACAGGACACACCCATCTGAATGATCTTTTACAGTTGTATTTTAAAACCCAGCAGAGTCGAGTCTTCCCAGAATCATTTATATCCAAAGCAAATTTTTTTTTTATATCTGAGGGCACAGGACCAGACGACTACCCTGCCCAGCACTGGTCAAACAGGACGGCATGATTAACTTACTAATTTGCTCGTCTAATGTCCATCCTCTTTCTTGAAATTAGTTCATTAGTAACGTAACTTGTTCCTTAGCTAAAGAGAACATTGGGGTTCAATTTGTGAAGCCGTGTCTGTGTATCAGTAACACTTAATCCACCTCACTTAACCATAACTGTGCCACACCTGCAGCTCTGTGCTCCGTATTAAAGTACAGTGCCCTCAGCCGACATATAGTTCAACGGCAACAAGATTACGAAGCCTCAGAAAGTCCACAAGTTCTTCTCTCCACTCTCCATGTCTGGCACGCGAGGCTACCTCCCGCTGCTGAACGCCGACCTGCATGAAGTCTCGCCTCATGCAGGTCGGTGTTCAATCCCCGACCGTTCACAAGTGGTTGAGCACCATTCCTTTCCCCCCGTCCCATCCCAAATTCTTATCCTGACCCTTTCCCAGTGCTATATAGTCGTCATGGCTTGGCGCTTCCCCCCCCCCCTGATAATTCCCTCCCTCACAACATACAGCTATAAAGCACTTCTATTCTACGTTATTGATTTGTCTTTAACAGAAAGCTGTGTTGAACAGCTGAACACATGTCAAGTCTGCGAACAAAACCCAGGACACATTCTCCGTATTGTATTTATTTATATACAAAAAAAGGTACATTGGGTTTACATATCATTGATATTTTTACATTCGTGTAAAGCCACTAGCACCCATAGCATTGATGTTTTTACATTCTTGTAAAGCCACTAGCACCCATAGCATTGATGTTTTTACATTCTTGTAAAGCCACTAGCACCCATAGCATTGATGTTTTTACATTCTTGTAAAGCCACTAACACCCATAGCATTGATATTTTTACATTCTTGTAAAGCCACTAGCACCCATAGCATTGATATTTTTACATTCTTGTAAAGCCACTAGCACCCATATCATTGATGTTTTTACATTCTTGTAAAGCCACTAGCACCCATAGCATTGATGTTTTTACATTCTTGTAAAACCACTAACACGCATAGCGTTTCTGGCAGCATTTGAATGTATAAGTCTTTTTAGAAGTTTTAGAGACCGTATAGACTTGCTAGCAGGAGATATGTATTTAATCCATTCATCCTGATGTTTGCTAGAGCGGCTCGCGACCTTCACAACCAAACACTAAGCTCTTTGTCAGAGGACTGCGCAACGCTGTGTTATACATCCCGTCTTCCTGTTTAGATAATACTTACCCACGTGGGCCAACGGACATATATTGACGTAATTGAGTAGTAGAATATGGTATTGTACATTTTGAATTTGGACAAACCGGACATGTTTTTTTATTTGTTGCCAATTAAACATAGCCTAATCATGCTAAACGGGGGGTAGAAATAGCCTAAGCTACTCTATTACTTTGAGATGTATTTTTTTTTGTCTCAATAAACATACTTGAACCATCCTAATACTCGCTATCTGAAGCATAATATAGTACATATATATGTTATACTAGGCCTAGGAATATTTAAATTTGGGTTTCAGGTTTTTTCCAGATTCTAAAGCGAATAGTATCAAATTGTACTATCTAACTGTCCATTGCGTCTATGTACAATGGTGTACATAGTTACGAAGAGTACTGTCTAAACAGGCGAACGGGTTACGGTTATGGGGTGGAGGCGGAGTATACTGGGTGGGGGGAAGAAATAGCCTAAGCTACTCTATCCCTTTTAGATGTATTTATTGCTTATCTCAATAAACATACTTGAACTTGTGGCGCCAAATTACAAGTAATATTATTAATATAAATATCTTAATTCTAATTTCCTGTAGTGAAATATCCCCATATTTATAACTTTTATATCGCTCTACGAGCTGAAACCTAATACTTAGAAGGCTACTGAGATGTTTTATATGTTATAGTGACGTTATAATAATTCACCGTGTCGGGTGACACGAAGCCAGAGTGTATACATACACGTTCGGCTTTAATCGAACCCTCCACCCCCCCCCTACTAAAAATTACTAAAAAAAAAGCAGAAAATAATGACTACAAAGGGTAAAATTTCGGACTTTTTCTGACACGTTGAGGAAGTCTTGCAAAGTTTCAGACTTTTGCAGTCACATTAACGAAGCCTTACAATATGATGTAACTGACGATAAACAGTATTCTGGGTACACACAGAGGTGTACCTAGGTTTTTCTGTGTATACACTGTGAGTTTACTTGAGTCCAGGTCTATATTCAGAACTAAAGTAAACTTAGGGTTGGTCAGTAAGCTATATTATGGTGGCTTTAGTAGTCATCCGGCAAGTGATAGACCTAAAACCGAACGCCCAAAACAGTTTACGGGGGACTTCAATCATAGCGGTAAAACACGGTAAAGTTTACTGGATACCCAATTGGCCACAGAGGAAAGAAAAATTATAGATTATCAGTATCCTAGTTATCAGTTCCTGGGATCACTCACTCCCTGGGGCTAGATTCACGAAGTTACGCAAACACTTACGAACCTGGACATCTTTTTCTCAATCTTTGGCGGCTTTGTTTACAATTATTAAACAGTTAATGAGCTCCGAAGCACCAGGAGGCTGTTTATAACAATAACAACAGTTGACTGGCAAGTTTTCATACTTGCAAACTGTTTTAATAAATGTAACCAAAGCCATCAAAGATTGAGGAAAGATGTACACGTTCTTAAGTACTGTCGTAATTGCTTCGTGAATCTGGCGTTCCTGGGATCACTCACCAGAGCCAATAATGATGCCTAAGATGATGGCCACGCCCTCGAGGAGACCCAGCTCCTTCTTCAGCTCTGTCTTGCCCTCCGTATCCTTAGCGACCATGTCCTCTGAAGGGTTCATGGGCTCCAGCTCCGCCGTCAGCGGCTCCGTAGTATCACTGGTGGGTATGCGTCTGTTTGGCATCGTGAACCTGCGCAGGAAAGGGAAAAATACAATTTAATTTCGTACTACTGTATGTATGAATATACACCTAGCTATACATATATGAGATAATCCAGCATTGTGATAGGGTGGTCAAGAGTGCTGCTGACTAGAGTATATACGTCGGTGATACACCACACATGTGGCTACAGCAGGTGTGGGAGATCACTACATCACACACATGTAGCTACAGCAGGTGTGGGAGAGCATTACATCACACATGTAGCTACAGCAGGTGTGGGAGATCATTATGCTGATGCCTACAAATAAATGGCAGAGTGTCCCGATTGGAACTCGTATAGCGAAGCGAGTCCTTCAGTAGGTGTTGAGACAGGGTGTTCCTCGAGGTATTAAGACAAGGTGGACCTCGAGAGGGTTGAGTATTGTTCTCTGGGGTCACGACCAGTAATCTGACAGTTGACCGAACTGGTGATTCGCCCACTGACAGGGAAGGGAACTATCAGGGGGAAAGCGCCAAGTCATTACGACTATATAGCACTTGGAAGGGGTCAGGATAAAGATTTGGGATGGGAAGGGGGGAAGGAATGGTGCCCAACCACTTGTGGACGGTCGGGGATTGAACGCCGACCTGCATGAAGCGAGACCGTCGCTCTACCGTCCAGCCCAAGTGGTTGGGTCTACTGAGAGGGAACCCACACCTCGTTATGGGGTGACAATTGAGCTCTATAGACACTCTTACTCCTTTCTTAACCCGTTTTCTTTCTGTTCACAGGTGAGTACAAGAGCAGACGACTTCCGGCTTTGTGGGCTGCCGCCTATTTGCCATTTTTCCTGAGAGGTGTGTATGTATGTATGTATATAGTTGTACATGTGTATGTAATGTCACCAATTGTGTAAGTAGCTTCACAAGATTGCCCCTTGCTTAGCTAAACGAACTATGGGGTTCAGGGGCCAGATTCACGAAAGCACTTACGCAAGCACTTACGAACGTGTACATCTTTTCTCAATCTTTGGCGGCTTTGTTTACAATTATTAAACAGTTAATGAGCTCCGAAGCACCAGGAGGCTGTTTATAACAATAACAACAGTTGATTGGCAAGTTTTCATGCTTGTAAACTGTTTAATAAATGTAACCAAAGCCGTCAAAGATTGAGGAAAGATGTACACGTTCGTAAGTGTTTGCATAAGTGCTTTCGTGAATCTGGCCCCAGATCCTGAACCTATTATGTGCCTCTGTAACCCTTTTCACTACCGCCCACGGGATGGGGTGCATAATAAAGAAATGAAATGATTGTGGCCAGGAAAAATCGAACTTCGGACATAAAATACTGAGCGGATGCAAATGGTTATAACTTTATGGTATAATTAGTTTGTATTCTTCAAATTGTGTTCTTATCCAGATTGTAATTTATATATAGAAGTAAACTACACATTGGGTGACCATACTAGGTGACTTCGTCAGTCAGGTACCTATTTACCTATTCTCCCAGATACCTATTTACTGCTAGGTAACAGGGTGAAAGAAACTCTGCCCATTTGTGTCTGCTATCAACGGGGATCGAACCCGGACCCTAGGATTACGAGTCCAGAGCGCTGTCCACTCGGCTATCAAGTCCCACGGCCTTTCCCCAGGATGCAAACCACAACAGTTGACTAACTCCTGGGCACCCATTTACTCAACCCGTCCTCGACTCAAGTCCATTACATCCAGCGGTCGACCCCACAGACGCATTCATAAATTTTAACATGCTGTTCATTCAGAACAAGAATTATCTCAAATATAAATTAATATTATAATATATTAGCATATTATGCATATATAGGCATAGGTTAGGTTAGGTTAGGTGTTTAGGTTCGATTGGCGATTATTTGCATTTGTAGTACGTGGGTGAAGCATTTATAGCGAAGTGGTTCGAACAAAACTCGTCAGTGAAGCACTTGTTCCGGATATGTTCGAACGTCAGCAGTTGTGAGTCGTGTATAAACCGCTTTTCATTCATAAACAGGGGGTTTGGCGGGTGCATGGAATCACTTTTGGATCTTTGTTTGGAGGACGGGCTGTTCACTGACGACTTGTGTTCGAACCACAACGCTGTAAATGCTTCACCCACGTACTACAAATACAAATAATCGCCAACAGAACCTAAACACCTAACCTAACCTATGCCTATATATGCACAATATGCTAATATATTATAATATTAATTTATACTTGAGAAAATTCCCGTTTTGAATGAAGAGCATGTAAAAATTTATGAATGCGTCTGTGGGGTCGACCACTGGATGTAATGGACTTGAATCAAAGACGGGTTGGAGTTGTGTGTCGGGCGTTTTTTTTTTTTCCAATCATAGACAGGGAGGTTGACGGGTGCTTGGACTCACCATTGTTGACGAGGACGGGCTGGCGAATGTGGGACGGGATGAATATATTGTCATGCATCAAGGAGCCTGCTTGAGACGGTAGCTAGGTAAGCTTGTTACTGTCTTTAAGCACCCATGTATAACTATCATTGAGAAGTAGTTGATGTTGTTGACACCCACGCGCACCACCACTACCTACGCCAGCTTATATTTGGTCCTCGGCGGCGCTGCTCCTGATGCAGGGCCCTGGGCATCCTGTTATACAACACCTTACACATTATGGGCAGGCAGGGAGGGAGGCAGGCAGGCAGGCAGGGAGAGAGGGTTGGCAGGCAGGCAGGGAGAGAGGGTTGGCAGGCAGGCAGGCAGGCAGGCAGGGAGAGAGGGTTGGCAGGCAGGCAGGCAGGCAGGGCAGGCAGGCAGGGCAGGCAGGCAGGGCAGGCAGACAAGCAGGGCAGGCAGGGAGAGAGGGGTTGGCAGGCAGGCAGGCAGGCAGGCAGGCAGGCAGGCAGGCAGGCAAGGCAGGGCAGGCAGGCAGGCAGGCAGGCAGGCAGGGCAGGCAGGCAGACAAGCAGGGCAGGCAGGGAGAGAGGGTTGGCAGGCAGGCAGGCGGGCAGGGCAGGCGGGCAGGCAGGGCGGGCAGGCAGGCAGGCAGACAGGGCAGGCAGGCAGGGCAGGCAGGGTGGGCAGGCAGGGCAGGCAGGGTGGGCAGGCAGGCAGGCAGGCAAGCAGGGCAGGCAGGGTGGGCAGGCAGGCAGGGCAGGCATGCAGGGCAGGCAGGCAGGCAGGCAGGCAGGCAGGCAGGCAGGCAGGCAGGCAGGGCAGGCAGGCATGGCAGGCATGGCAGGCAGGCAGGCAGGCAGGCAGGCAGGCAGGCAGGCAGGCAAGGCAGGGCAGGGCAGGCAGGCAGGCAGGCAGGGCAGGCAGGCAGACAAGCAGGGCAGGCAGGGAGAGAGGGTTGGCAGGCAGGCAGGCGGGCAGGGCAGGCGGGCAGGGCAGGCGGGCAGGCAGGGCGGGCAGGCAGGCAGGCAGACAGGGCAGGCAGGCAGGGCAGGCAGGGTGGGCAGGCAGGGCAGGCAGGGTGGGCAGGCAGGCAGGCAGGCAGGCAGGCAGGCAAGCAGGGCAGGCAGGGTGGGCAGGCAGGCAGGGCAGGCATGCAGAGCAGGCAGGCAGGCAGGCAAGGCAGGCAGGGCAGGCAGGCAGGGCAGGCAGGGCAGGCAGGCAGGCAGGCAGGCAGGCAGGGAGGGAGGCAGGCAGGCAGGCAGGCAGGCAGGGAGGCAGGCAGGCAGGCAGGCAGGCAGGCAGGCAGGCAGGCAGGCAGGGCAGGCAGGCAGGGCAGGCAGACAAGCAGGGCAGGCAGGGAGAGAGGGGTTGGCAGGCAGGCAGGCAGGCAGGCAGGCAGGCAGGCAGGCAGGCAGGCAGGCAGGCAAGGCAGGGCAGGCAGGCAGGCAGGCAGGCAGGGCAGGCAGGCAGACAAGCAGGGCAGGCAGGGAGAGAGGGTTGGCAGGCAGGCAGGCAGGCAGGCAAGGCAGGGCAGGCAGGCAGGCAGGCAGGGCAGGCAGGCAGACAAGCAGGGCAGGCAGGGAGAGAGGGTTGGCAGGCAGGCAGGCGGGCAGGGCAGGCGGGCAGGCAGGGCGGGCAGGCAGGCAGGCAGACAGGGCAGGCAGGCAGGGCAGGCAGGGTGGGCAGGCAGGGCAGGCAGGGTGGGCAGGCAGGCAGGCAGGCAGGCAGGCAAGCAGGGCAGGCAGGGTGGGCAGGCAGGCAGGGCAGGCATGCAGGGCAGGCAGGCAGGCAGGCAAGGCAGGCAGGGCAGGCAGGCAGGGCAGGCAGGCAGGGCAGGCAGGGCAGGCAGGGCAGGCAGGCAGGCAGGCAGGCAGGGAGGGAGGCAGGCAGGCAGGCAGGCAGGCAGGCAGGGAGGCAGGCAGGCAGGGCAGGCAGGCAGGGCAGGGAGGCAGGCAGGCAGGCAGGGCAGGCAGGCAGGCAGGCAGGCAGGCAGGCAGGCAGGCAGGGCAGGCCAGGGCAGGCAGGCAGGCAGGCCAAGCAGACAGGCAGGCAGGCAGGCAAGCAGGGCAGGCAGGGTGGGCAGGCAGGCAAGGCAGGCAGGCAGGGCAGGCAGGCAGGCAGGCAGGCAGGGAGGGAGGCAGGCAGGCAGGCAGGGAGGCAGGGAGGCAGGGAGGCAGGCAGGCAGGGCAGGCAGGGCAGGCAGGCAGGGCAGGGAGGCAGGGAGGCAGGGCAGGCAGGCAGGCAGGCAGGCAGGCAGGCAGGCAGGCAGGCAGGCAGGCAGGCAGGAAGGCAGGCAGGCAGGAAGGCAGGCAGGCAGGCAGGCAGGCAGGGAGGCAGGCAGGCAGGCAAGCAGGCATGCAGGCAGGCAGGCAGGCAGGCAGGCAGGCAGGCAGGCAGGCAGGGCAGGCCAGGGCAGGCAGGCAGGCAGGCAAGGCAGACAGACAGGCAGGCAGACAGACAGACAGACAGGCAGGCAGGCCAAGCAGACAGGCAGGCCAAGCAGACAGGCAGGCCAAGCAGACAGGCAGGCAGGCAGGGAAGCCGTGGACCACGAGACTGTGGTATATATAATCAGCAGCAAGGAAGTACAGGCCAACAAGGCGAACATTATGAGGCCCGTGAGACACCAAGCCCAGAGTAACAACACATCATCCACGGGGAGCT